GAGCCCCCTCAAATACGTACCCCCCAAAAAAGCCAACATCCGTCAAACACTGTAAGAGGAAACCTGACCTGACAAGAACGGGAAGCGAATGTTCGAACGTTCGTTGCAGGTGTGGCATCACATGGGGACGTCAAAACTGGAACGCTTGTGCGAACAGGCGGGGACTGCGCGGTGCCCGAGTCAAGGATCCCTCGAAAATATACGACGCTCGCGCTCCCGAGGCGCAGATCCCTTGTAAAGTACACGCGATACGCGCCTCCGAGGCCACGACCCATTGCAAAGTACTCTGGGTTCATGCCTCGGCGACCAGGACCCACAGAAGTGCAGCCAGATTCACGCCCCGGAACCGCTATTACTTGTATTGTGCGCAAGCGGTCAGTTACCACGCGGCCCCCACGTCCACCTTCAAGATCCCGAGCTATCCGCCGTCCCCTTGGGGTTCGGTCCGGCTGGCTTGCAGGGGGGGGGGAATCCGGTTAAACGGACTAGATCCCTCACCCCTCCCAAGAATGCCCAGGATGCCTCTGGCCGTCTCCGGCCACTCCAAGATGCTCCAAGACGGCCCATTATATTTTGAATACGACCGGCGATAACCCCAAGACGGTCCAAGAGGCCTGTAACATGAAGCTCTCTTGGATCCCTCTGGCGCCGTTTTCGGGCCCTCTTGAGCTGTCTTGGGGCTGTGTAACACGAATTCGGGATAAGGAGATGGAAAATCTAGTGACCTTCGGTCCATCCCGCCACCGTGCCGGGGTATTGAGAATGAGACGAAGTGAAAGTTCATTGGGCTCCCTTGAGAGGCTTCTCGCGGGCCGTTTTGGGTCCTCTTGGGGCCTCTTTTGGGCCTCTTGGGGGCCTTTGGGGGCGTCTTGGGGGCCTCTCGGGGACCTCCTGGGACCTCTTGGGCGCCTCCTGGGGCCTCCTAGGGCCGTCTTTGGGCGGGATGCTCCGATTTTCAATTCGGGCTCACCCTCTTGGGCCCCACTTGGGGACCTCGTGGGCCTTCTTGGGAGCCTCTTGGGCCGTCTTGGCGCCCTCTTCGGCCGTCTTGGGCGCCTCTTGAGAGTCTCTTGGGCCGTCGCGGGTCGGTCTTGGGCAACTCTTGGACCGTCTTCGAAGTCGTGAAGACGAGAAAATCGTATATACGAAAAGTTTACGTTTTCCCATAGGAATGACGATTTTGGCCTCTTGGGCCCTCTTGGGGGTGCTCTTGGAGGCCTCTGGGGCCGTCATGCGGGCCCCCTGGAGCCGTCCTGTGGCCTTCCAGGGACCCTCTTGGGCGCTCCAAGAGCGATCTGAACACAAAGGCGGCCTGGAGCCAACGCCAACTCCATCTTTTAGAGGATGTCCCGAGCGAAATTCTGTCTCTCCACTTCCAAAGTCCATCGTCTATTCGGGGAGAGGTACCCTCTCCCTCCACTCCTAGGGGTGTGGACGGGGGGGGGACGGAGGGATTAAAGCACCCAAGATGGCTCTGAGAGGGCCTCCGATGCTCAAAGAGACTCAAGACAGCCGAAGGTGGCCTAAGATGGTTTCCAACATGTTCCAAGAGACCCCAAATACAGCTCCAAGACGGTTCCAAATTCTCTCGGAGCCCCCTCAAATACGTACCCCCCAAAAAAGCCAACATCCGTCAAACACTGTAAGAAGAAATCCGCCGACCCCTTGTGGGTCTCTAGGCGTGTGAGATTACCCCCCCCATAATCCCCCCACCCCCAGGGACCCCAAACCGGCAATTCGACCCCCCCCCCTCGCCCAGCCTGACCCCGAACCGAACGCGTCACGGGGGAGCGGAGGGCTGCAAAACTGGCCAAGAAGGCACCAAAACGCTCCCCAGACGGTCCCAGGGGGCCACGATTCGCCGAAATGTCGCCCTGGACGCATCCAGGCGGCCTCCGAAGCTGCCAAGACGCCCCAAAAATGCCCCCAAGATGCGCCCCAAGAGGATCCACAGAAACAAACATCGCCCCATTCCCTTCGAAAAGCAAGCATTTGTCGCATGCTCGCCTATTCGGTTTTCACAACGTCCCAGACGGGCAAAGAAACCTTCAATGTCGCCCCAGATGGCCAAAGGGGCCCCCAAGAAGGGTCGAAAAGGGTCCAATAACATCCCCCGAAGCCCCCAAGACAGCCCAAGAGGGCCCCCAGACGGCTCCAAGACGGAGCCCAGAGGGCACCTTTTCGAGCCTTCGGCCCCAAGACGCCCCCAGCCTGCCCCAAGAACAGCCCAAGAGGCCCTGAGGGACCCCCAAGAGAACCTCAAAGGCCTCCAAGAAGCCCCCAAGAAGCCCCCAGGAGGCCCCAAAACTTGGCCCAAGATGCCTCGAGGCGGCCGGATATGGCCTGCAGACAGGCCAAGATACCACCGAAAGGCTACACAAGAGCACCATGATGTACGAAAACAGCAACGAAGCAACAAGAACGATGTCGAGCGCCGTGTCATGATTCGGACAAGCCTCGTGAAATGCAGTCCTGGGGGCGCAGTAGTTTGTACAAGGGTCGGCGGATGTGGCGTAAGCCGATAGAATACGTGATTTGGTGCCGTCTCGTTGTTTCGCTTCCACTGCGATTTTGACGCCTCAAAGAGTGCCACTAGATCCCCAAGAAGCCCCCAAAATGGTCCAAGAGGCGCCCAAGATCGGCCGAGAGCGCTCTATGAGGCGATTATAACGGCCCTATGGGTGGGGAGGCAAATCGAGGACCCCCCTCCTGTGATCGATAGCCTCCAAGATGGCATCAAGAGGCTTTCCAGGGTGCCCAAAATGGCCCCAAGACGGCCCCAAGTGCGCCGAAGAGAGCCCCATGAGCGTCCCACGAGGGACCCAAGAGGCGGCTTGCCTCCACCTCCTCATCCTGTTGGCTCCAGTTGGCTCATTAGCTGTCCGTTACCGCTGAGCGATGCCTCCACCTCCTCATCCTCCTCCTCCTCCTCCTCCTCCTCCTCTCCTCCTCCTCCCCTCCCCTCGCCCCCCCCGCGGGACCCAGGGATGGCCCGAGGAGGCGCTCCAAGGCCACCCCCTTGCTCCCGCTGATCTCTCTGTTCATCCTGGTTGTCCACTCTGTCTCACTATATGTTTCTTTTCGTGTCTTTTCCCGTCGGTTCTCAAGACAGCCGAAGATGGTTCAAGACAGCTTCTAACATGCCTCCAAAAAGCCCCAAGAGGGCCACAAGAAGGTTCCAGGTGCTCTTGGAGACCCCTCAGGACCCCTCCAAGAGCCTAAACTCCTTCATACGTCTACAGAAAACTGATGATTTGTACCTCATCGCTGTTTCTAATCCGATGCGCGTTTGAGGCCTCGAGACGGCCCCAAGATGGCTCACAAAAGCCCCAAGAGGACACCAGAAGGCCCCCAACACGGCCCCGAGAGCGCCCAAGATCGCTCCAAGAGCGCCTCAAGAGGGCTCCAAGAGACGGTTTTGATGGCCCCAGGGGGGGGGGGGGCTAGATCGGGACATTCCCTCCTGGAGATCGATAGCCTCGAAGATGGCCCCAATAGGCGCTCCAGGGCTCCCAAGAAAGCCCCAACAGAGCCCCAAGAGGTCTCCAAGAGGGTCCCAAGAGGTCTCCAAGAGGGTCCAAGAGGGCCCTAAGACCCTCTTCTCCTTCGGAGCGGGTTTACCCCTCCCCCTCACCCCTCCCCTGGACTTGGAATGGCAATTTTGAGCACTCTAGAAAAGGCAACGTCAGTTAGGTACCCGCCCCTTGTTTTAGCGATCTCGTCCAAGATGACTCCAAGAGCGTTCCAGAAGCTCGCGCAAGTGCCCCACGAGGCGCCAAAGAAGCGCTGATGATTCCCCACTTGTATGCTACCCCACGTCGCTGATCGGGGCAACTCGTCTGGGCATCGTCTCTGGATGGGCTGGTGGGGATACTTTTGGTTCGCGGGCACGCGAAACGAGTCGAACGCCGAGCTTGCTAGGGCGAGCCGTGCCCGTAGCAAAATGAAAAGCAGTGCAAGCGGCAGCGCGCGAAAGAGTATAGCAGTACCAACTGGTGGGGATACGCGAAGCGTTAAAAGCAAATTCTGGGTTCCGGCGGGGGAATCAACTTTCTCGACAGGTCGAACCATGAAGGAGGAAAAGCAGGAGGAGAAGCGAAAGGAATATTTCGGCGTGTACGGATGCACGGAGTGTCTCATGGTATTGCGATGCCGATACCTCACAACAACACCCATACATGTGCGTTTCGCCTGAGACACCCTCGCCTCGCAAACACGACAAATGACAATGGTAATGAAACCGATGGTGATGCTGCTGATGATGATAATGATGATGATGAGGATGATGATGATGATGATGATGATGATGAGGATGAGGATGAGGATGAGGATGAGGATGATGATGATGATGATGATGATGATGATGATGATGATGATGATGATGATGATGATGAGTGTGATGATGACGACGATGATGCTGATGATGCTGATGATAATCATGCTAATAAGATCCGAGCTACGATGCGTATTTTCCCCGGCGATAATGCGGCTCCCCGCCGCTCCCCGCTGCAGACCCGCTCCCCGCTCCCCGCTGCTTTATTATCCGGGGCATGCGGTTACGGGAAGCGTGAAGAATTCTTGTCGATGCGTGGGCCCAGGAGGTCTGGACAGCTTCCCTGTAGGGCCAGCGTTTCATCCTGAATCGTTGTTGGCGGTCCCAGGGCCCCCTTGGGAGCGCCCAGACACCAGCCGCCCCCACTCTGTCGGAGCCCCGGACCTCTGAGCTTAGCCTGTTTTCTCGTCTTCGACTAGCACTGCCCCTGAGGACGCCGACCGCCGCCTCGACCAGCCTGAAGGGGCCCCAGGACACAAATAAATACACACAAATAAAAAGATCCTCGATATTTTCCCATATTTTCTGGGTTTCTGTCTTCCCCCCCCACTTCCCATAGTTCCCCATATTTTCTGGGGAATCGACGATTAATTGTGTCTGTGTGTTTTTGTCCCTCCTGACAGCCCTCCGCTCGAAGCAAACGGCGCGGGCGGCCGCGCCGCGCGTCCGTGTGCACGTGCTTGCCGCCCCGGCCGCCGCGCAGGCGGCTGCTCTGGTCCACCGGGCCGTGCTGCGCGAAGAGCTCCAGGCGCCCCGTGGACTGGGGGTGGTTTGGGTGACCCAAAAGGGGGTCCAGCTGAAATCTATTGCACCACCCCCTTGTCGCTGGACCCCTTTTAGGGTCAACCCGGGGCGGGGGGCGCTCTAAGGGTTCGAAGTTCGAGGTGTGGGGCGTTCGAGGCGCTTTCGTCGGTTCCAAGCGGCCCTCCAGCCTCGAGGTGCCTTCCAGCGGCTTCGCATCGCCGGGAGCGTTCCGTGCGTTCGGACGCTTTCGTCGGTTCCCAGCGGCCCTCCAGCCTCGGGGTGCCTTCCAGCGGCTGCGCATCGTCGGGAGCGTCCCGGGGGCTCCCGGATCGTCCCGAACGGCCCACTGAGGTCCGAGCTACAACGTCCTGAAAACCATGGGACCAGCTGAGAGGGGAAACGTCGAGTTGGAATCGGCAATCCATGGCAAATAGATCGGCGACAGGGTCCCGATAGCGAAATCAGTCGGTCCTGAGCGGGGTGGGCTCATCACAACCCCATCGTCGATGAATGGGCGATTGGGGGTTTGGAAATCGAGTGGGTCCCCCGCCCATTTCGGAACAGGCCTCGCACGGGTCGCGCCTGGAGGAGGTCCACCTGTCGCCTCAGTGTGGGGGCGTTCGCGCGGGGGCAGCCGAATCATTCGGCACACCCTTCACGTGGATCGTGACCTGTAAAAAACTCAGGAATTCAACACACCCGTGCACGCGTTCTCCGCAACAACCCATCTTTCCACATTACACCGCGGATACAGCCTTCGGCCCATACCGCTACTGTGCCAGAGTTTTGGGACAGAGGGTCCTTGGATACCCCCAGTTCGAATTCTCTTGGCATGCTTCTGGGGCGCCTTGTGGAGCGAGTGTTGAAGCTCCTTGTGGCCTCATGAGGGCCATGTGGGGGCCTCTTGGGGCATCTTTCGGGGCCCTTGGGGGCCTCTTGGGTGCCTGCTGCGGTCTTGGGGACCCACACGTGGCGGAGGGCTCAACATGTCAGTTGGAGCACCCCACTCTTGGAATCCTCTTGGGTCTCTCTATTGGGCCGTCTTGGGAGCCTCTTGGATTGTCTTGGGGCTCTCTTGGGCCGTCCTGGGGTTGTCTTGGAGGCCTCTTGGGCCGTTTTGGGGCGATCTCTGAGGCCTTTGGGGGACTCTTCGCCGTTTTGGACGCTGTAAAGACTCCAAACGCGACTATGTGAAAATTACACCGCCCCCCTAGGGGATGAAACAGTTTCGGCCTCCCGGGGCCCTCTCGGGGCGCATCTTGGAGCCTTCGTCATCTTCGGGGCCTCTTGAGCTTCCGCGAGACAAGACTAAGGCGTCTTCGGCCCTGTTAGGCCGCACTGCTCGGTTTTTGGCGGCCTCCGGAGCTGTTCTCGGCGGGGGGGGCCCGGGAGGCCCCAGAAGGGGTCAACCTTGTGGGGGAAATCCGGGAGATTGTCCCAGCCTGGGCCCCGGGCTCCTAGTACGCGAGCATGTATGCAACGCGTATGGGAGCCCTGACCGAGCCCCGGCGTCCGTCTGCCCCGTGCCCTGCGTTCTCCGTTTGCCAGATGCGGGCTGAAGCAGGGGGCAGAGGGCAGAGACTCTAAAGTACCTGAAGGAGTGTGGAGAACCTGCTTCTCCTCCCTCCCCTTCCTCCCCCTTCCTCCCCCTTCCTCCTCCTCCTCCTCCTCCTCCTCCTCCTCCTCCTCCTCCTCCTCCTCCTCCTCCTCCTCCCATCCCCACCAACATTCCCTGGGTGGAGCGATTTGGTCTCAGACAGCTCCGCTGATGATGATGATGATGATGATGAGGAGGAGGAGGAGGAGGAGGAGGAGGAGGAGGAGGAGGAGGAACTGAAGTAGCGGCCCACGCACGGTTGGAACTGCAGCCGCGCGGATTGAGCCGAGGATCTATAGCCCCAGAGGAAGGCAGGCTCCACATAACGTCACCCCGTCGATTTAGGCACGGCCTTCACGCATCGCGCCCGCCCCACCCCCCGTGAGATTAAAACTCGGGTCCAGGGACAAAGTTTGCACGGCGTCCCCACCCCCCCATATCGAGACACCCTTCGCACGGATCGTGCCCCAGAGAAGTGTAGTTTCACGTGCGTCCCCGGTGGGGGGAGCTGTATAACGTCACCTCCCGCTGTGTATGTTGACTGTCTCCTCAAAGGGATCGTACCCCACTGGGAGCTCCACCGACAGCCCCAGTGCCAAGGTTCGCATCCCGCCGCCCTGCCAATGTCGGCACACACCTGATCTGGATTGTGAGGTCGGGGCGTCTTGGGTGCCTCTCGGCGCGAGGGCTGCGGCGGCGCTGGGTTCTGGCTGCCCCTTTCCATCCTTCTCCTCCTCCTTATGAATTTCCTCCTCCTCCTCCTCCAACTCCTCCTGGTCCTCCCACTCCTCCCCCTCCTCTTCCTCCGTCCCCTGCCTCCGGCGACTTGAGATTCTCTAGTCTCAGGAGAGAGTTTCTAGATGTTCGGCGATGACGGGCGTCATGGGGGGGGGCAGGGTGGGGGTATGACGTAAAGCCCCCCCCCCGCCGTGTGGCTCGGGCACCACAGCCGCGCCCGCGTGCACGACGCGACGAGCGACACGCGACGACGACGACGACGCGAGCAGCATGTAGGTGGCGATCTGCCCCCCCTGCGCCTGTGTACACCACAACGCTCGCGTGCACCACAGCGCGCGTGTACACCACAGCGCCTGCGTACATTGCAACAACCGTGTGCAACGCAGCGCTTGTGTACACTGCACTGCTTGCGTACACTACAGCGACGGTGTACATGTGCACACCGGAGGCAAACATGTGCAACACAGCGCCTGTGTACACCACAGTGCTTGCGTGCACCGCGGCGCCTGTGCACGCCACAGCGCCTGTCTACACCACAGCATCGGCGCGCAACGCAGCACTATTGTACACCACAGTGCCTGCGTGCATAGGGTAAGTAGAAGGAGCCTGTACGTGAGGATCTGCTGCGGAAGCGCCACGCCAGGACAGTGCTGATAATCGAATGCGACGTTTTGCCCTCATTCCTTCTCCTCCATTTCCACCTCCTCCTCCTCCTCCTCCTTTTTCTCTTCCTGCTCCTCCTCCTCCTCCTCCTCCTCCTCCTCCCCCTCCTCCTCCTCGTCCTTACTCCCTGTCGTGCGGGTTGGCGCTACAAAGCACGTGCGCAACTCAGCGTGCACCGCAGAATGGTCGATTGAATCGGCCCATTTGGTTCTCGAACGGCCAATTTAGCTGGAGCCTCCTGGACGCAGATGGGAGGAGTTACGGCGATGCGGGCGAACTCGGAAGGACTCGTAGATTCCCCTGGCGCTCCCTTGTCCATAAGGATTATTTTCTTATGTTTTCGGTAGAATCCAGAAGCGCTCCATTTTGTCATAGCGATTCCTTCTAACATTCTACACGCAACAGTGGTGCTGTCTTGCACACGGTTGCTGTCGTGCACACAAGTGCCGTGGTGCACACAGGCACTGCAATGCACGCAGGCATTGTGGTGTACACTGCTGTGTTGCACACGGCTGATGTGGTGTACGCAGGCGCTGTGGTGTACACAAGAGCTGTTGTGCCCGCGCGCGCGGTGGCACAAACTGACGCTGTGTTACACGCGGCTGCTGTGGTGTACATCGGCGGTGTGGTGTAAACAGGCGCTGTGGTGCACGCAGGCACTGAGGTGTACACAGGCATTGTAGTGCAAATCGCCACCTGCATGCTGGTGCCACCCGTCCTCCGTCATTCCTAAGCATTCCCAGGCGCCGCCGACGCGAAGCGTGACGTCATCGACCCCCTCCACCCCCCCCAAATGATTGCCGTCATCGGCCCGGAATAAAAAAAAGGCTCCAGCCGCGTCCGCGTCCACGACGACGATGAGCGACAAGCGACGAGCCACGAGCCACGAGCGACGACGACGACGACGACGACGTCGACGACTGCGGACCAGACTCCTATGCGGATTCCCACGCGGACACCTATTACGCGGATCCCAATGCGCACGGCGGCAGAGCCGGGAGCGCACTGGGGGGGGAGCGTTACGTCATCGGGGGAGAGGGAGGGGGCCATGACGCCCGTCATGCTCCAAGCAATAAAGAAATGGTCTCCAGTCTTCCCCCCTGTGGGGAAGACGACAAAGAGAGTGACGACGATGATGACAAGGGAGAAGAGGAGGAGGAGGAGGAGGAGGAGCATGTATAGTTCCATGCTAGTCTTATATTGTGGGATATTGTAGCGTGTTGGCGGTCTTGAGGTTCCATCCTGGTGTTCTGCAGCCCTCTTCGGCTTTCCTTGGGCCGTCCAGGAAATGTAGTTGGACAGCTCGGTACTGTCGTGGCTATCGCGAGGTGTGTGTGTGTGAGAGAGAGATATATATATTTTAGCCGTGGTGTTTCTCTCTTGGGGGTTGTCCCTTGGGAACCTCGTGTGTCTCTCCTCGGGATGGTTTGGTGACAAGTGTACAAGGCTGGGCAATGAAAATGCCGCCGCTGTTCCTGGGTTGTGGGTCAGAACCCTCTTGGATGCGTGTTCGTCTCTCTTGGGAAGCCCCTTTGGTGAGCGTGTTGGAAACACTGGGCCTCTGAGGGGCCGTTTCGGGGCCTCTCGGAAAGTACTTTGGGAGTCCTGGGGGCATCTTGGGAGCTTGTTGGGGGCCTGCTGGCGGTCTCGGGGGCCCCCTAGAGACGAAGGGCTCGGAATGTGAGTTTGGATTCTCCTTTTTGGGCCACTCTACATGTCCCTCCTTTTTGGGGCCGTCTTGGGCGCCTCGTGGGCCGTCTTCAGCCTCTCTCGGGCAGCTGTGATGCCTCATTGGGGACCTATGTGGCCTTCTCGAAGGCGATCTTCAGGGAGCAGTTGGGCTGTCTTGGACGCTGTGAAGGTCAAAATGGTGAGTGTGAGAAAGGTGTAAGTTCCCCGCAGGGAATGAAGCGATTTTGGCCTCTTGGGGATCTCTTGATGGGGCCTGTCGAAACTCTTTTGGGGCGCCCTGGACACCTCTGGAGCCGCTGGGAGGTTCTCTTGGGCGGTCCTGGGGCGCCTTTGGGGCACTTTTGGGTGCTCTTGGCAGCCTCCTGGGCAGCCTGGAAGCCATCGTCCTCGCTCTTGGAGCGCCCAATGGCTGCCTTGAGCGGCCGGAGAGCGGCCCAAGAGGCCACAGAAGGTGTGGATCCAGATCGGGGCATTCGAGGCCGTGGCTTCTAGGCCCAAATGTCCTTCCCCAGGTCGACGCATGTATAAATATATGTATATAATAAAAGATAACGCACATAACTAGTCACAGTTTGGATATACATATAAATACGGATGTGCGTATGTGTATATACATATGTGTGTATGAGCATAAATATCTATGTACATATATATATATATAGATATGTGTGTAGGTGTGTAAGTATATACATATACCGTGGATGGCTCTCCAAAACAACACGAACAAATACGGAAGAACTTCCTGCTCCGATGACGGGCGCGCTTTCAGGTGCAATGCGACTGAGAAGCGCGCCCGTGTGGGAGCCCTCGAGGCGGCCTCTGTGAGCCTTTGGTGGGCGTTCTGGGGCCGTTTTGAAACCCTGCGGGCCTTCTGTATGGCCCTCTTGGCGTGTCTAGGCTTATTTGGAGAGCCTTCTGCTGCACTCTTAGGCCATCCAGGGCGCCTCTCAGGCCTGTTTGGCGCCGCCTTGGGGCGCGTTGGGGCCCCCGTGCACGCTTCGTGTGCGTCTCCGAGCGTTGGGGAGCGGAGCGAGCGACCACGCGAAAATCCATGAAAAACCTACGAAGAAGCCAAGACTTGTGCCTATCGGGGCTGTTTCGGAAAGCAGCTTAGAGCCATCTTGGGCCAGCTTGGGTGCCTCAGGGGCCGCATCGGAGCGACGGTGGGCATGGTGGGCCCGTTTTGGAGCCCCGTGGGCCTCCTCGGGCCTCTCCGCGTTGGAGCCCCGTGTCTAAACTCATTTGGGGGGCCACCAGGAGCCCGCTGGGGCGATTTCTGGGCGCCTCGTGGGCCGTCTCGGCGCGCGCTTTGGGGCGCCTTGGAGCCGTGGTGGGCGCCTCCCGTGCGGTCTCGGAGCGTCGGGCCGCGGAGCAGGCGACCACGCGAGCATGCTTGGCAAGCCCTAGGGAGCAGTGGCGCGCGTGCTGGGGCCGCTTTGGGGCCCCGCGGGCCTCGTGCGCTGCCCCTGCAACGTGTCCGAGCTCATTTGGGCGGCCGAATCCTCTTAAGAGGATTCGACGCGCGGCCTCGGAATGACATCGGGCTTCATGGAACGTCGAATGGACAACATGAAAAACCGCCCTGTGGGCTCCGAGACCCAAAATTACTGATGTGAAGGATTTCGGCTCGTCGACTCTTGGATGATGTTGGGCGCCCTTGAGCCGTCTTGGCGCCCTCCTGGGGTGTTTTAGGGCCCTCTTGGTCGCCTCTTGTGCCGTCTCGGGGCGCCGGGCAGTGGAACACGCGACTGCACGAACATTCAGCAACACCCTTGGGGAGACCAATGATTTGTGCTCCTGGGCTATCGGGGATCAACTGGAAGCCCTCTTGGAACTTCTTGGAGAACACGTGAGCCGTCTCGAAGTACTGGTCGGCGAGCTGGGGGCGCTGTGCTGCTTTCTGGCCCCTTTTTTGGTGTCATCTGGGCCCCCTTGAGGGCGCTTTTGGCGTGCGGAGACCCGTTGGGCCCCACATGCGGTACAGTGGCACTGGTTTGCCCCCCCCCCCGAAGCCGACTCATGAACGTGTGTGTGTATATATATATATGCACACAAACAAACCAACACATACACCAAAATTCATGTGTGTATATATACAGATACACACATTCAACCCGTATACGGATGCAAGGGCCTTGGGAGGCCATGTCGCAACTTGGCGAGCGGCACGGGGAGCGAACGCGGCCAACGATGGGCCGAAGGAGAAGGATGCAAAGGTAACCTTGGAAAGTCGCTCAACCTTACTATGCGGGTTGACTGTGTACCTATATCTATATAGATATGTGATCGGATCGATCGGGTCGAAATGGTCCCAGGCCTTGCCTTGGCGGGGGAGGTGCGAAGAGGACGCGATAAACAAATGACTAGATTAACATTAATGACGGCATGAGCATTACCCTTTCGGAGATCCGCGCGGGATTTCTTGGGTCGGCGCTTGACCCTCCTCCGTGGCGGTGGAGACGCCGACACCAGGGGTCCAGCATAGCTCCAAGAAATCCAAGCGACACCTCCGAAAGATAATCTTGAATATAGCCCCTACAATTGCGGATAAGAGACAGGGGCGGGGTTGCGGGGGCTGGGTCGTAGCTGTCTGCGAGGCTTCAGTAAAGTTGATGAAGCATGCCGCAGGCGACACTTATTACACTCCAGCGACATGACGCCGATGTTCGTCAAAGCAGCGTGGGAGGGCTGAAACTGGGTCGCGGGTGGGTCGCGGACAAGGTTGTGGACGACGACAACAGCAACAAGAATGACAATATCGACAACCACGTACCAATGGACCACACTACAACGAACAACGCACCCAAGGACCGTGGCCCCGCCACTCTGACGTACGTGTTGTCTTCATCGGCTGTTTCCGCCCTCTCCCAGCCGAAGCGTTGGCGACGTTTGCATCGTGAGCAAGGCCCACCCCATCATAAGACTAGGCGCACCGCGCCAACCTCGGGGTGCTCCAGGTTCGCCGGGAACAAGAAGTTCTGCAACTGAGACCAGGTCACGCCCGAGGAAGGCGCTGGCACCGTGCCTTGGCCACCCCTGCCCTGGAAACAACTGCCCCCCCTCCTCCTGCTGCCGATCCCCCCCTCCGTGCCCTTCTCAAATACGTTCTCCGTCCACATTCGCCCCATCCTCCGCACTCATCGTTCGTGGGTCCTCGCTCCTCCATTCTCTGCCTTTCTCCGCTTTGGCCTCCTCTCTCTCGCACCCCGTCCCACCTCCTCCTCCTCCTGCTGTTCCTCCTGCTGACCCTCCTGGCCATGCTCCTCTCCTGCTCATGCTCCTCCCGCTTCTCCTGCTTCCCCTGCCCCTCGCGCTGTTCCTCCTTTAGCCCCCATCATGCGCCTCCTGGCCCCCTTTTCTGCTCTCTCCGCGTCTGCTGCCGCTGCTCTCCCAGCTGCTGCCACTCCTCATCCATCCCCTCCTCCGCATGCTCCAAACCTGCTCATCCTCCTGCGCCGCCTCCTCGCCCTTCTCCTTCTCCTCCCCCTCCCCCATCGCCCTCGCCATGCAAGAGATCGTACTGCGCCTCAACCTGCTACTCCTCGTCTGGTTCCTGCGCCTGATGATGCTGATGTCCCGATCTGCACCTGGACCTCGCGGCACACACACACACACACACACTCCACCTGCGAAGCAGCGGAGGCCGCAAAACGGGCGGACCACAAGAGCAAGGCCACAGGGACGGCTCTGTCGTGCGCGCAGTCAATCTGCCAGGACCCGCCCAACTCACCTCCGCCATAGTCACTTCACGTGGAGACGTCTGAGCCCTACCCCCACCAGCCATCGATTCTCCCAACTCGATGGGAGGCGGGGGTAGGGTTCGGCCCTCGCCACGTGTCGACGGACTTTGAATAATCCCAGCCACACATCGAAGTGTCCGTGAAAACTCGCCACCGAAAAAGGACGGGCCCTGAGGTGGAAACGTCGGCCCGGAATCGGCGATACGTCGCCGATAGATCGGCGACAGGCCCCCGACAGCGAAACCGCACGGCCCTGGGCGGGGTGGGCCATCGGGCCCCATCGGCGAGGAATGGGCGATTTGAGGGTCGATGCGTCCCCCCGAACGTTGCTCCTGAGGGGCTTCGTGCCATGGCTCGGGCATCTGGTGGCCGTTCGGGACGATCCAGCCACCCCCCGAATGCTCTCGGCGAGGTGCAACCGTTGAAAAGCACCCCGAAGCTGGAGGGCCGCTGAAAACCAATGAACATCCGAGAACCTCAAACCTCGAACCTTCGAACGCCCACCCCAAGCTCGAGCCCGTCCCCCCACCAAAAAATCCCCTGATCAATCATGTACCTCTGCTCATCGCTTGCAGTCTCCCGGCGGCCACCAGTGCGCCTGAGAGCGAAGTCGCCAACTTGGTCGTCCCGCCGCTGGCGCTGCCCAGCATGCCTCCGCTCCTGGAGCCACCGGAAGAGACGTCAACATCAAAGATCAGAGAATTGAAAACACATGCGCGAAACAAAAAAAAACTCGGCGGACCTCCCTTCCGTAAACCACCCCTTCCGTGAAAACGGCCTGGGACCGGAAAACCGACGGCCCCGGACCCGCAAGAATGACGGCCGCGACGCCCTCTCGCGACCTGAAAACGGCCAATCCGCTAATCGACGCGTCAGGGCAGGAGGTCTGTCAACCTCCGAGAGACAAAGTCTTACGCAGAATTCCGGTTGGCAGAACTGGGTTTAGCGGAACCTGGTTTAGTGATTTGTACCGGGGGCGCCCCCCCGTCCCATTTCCACTGACCGGAACTGCCGTCACCCGAAAAACACCAATTACGGCAAACCTGGTTTAGTGAATCTGGCCAATTGAGGGGCCCCAGGGCCCTACCACTAACCGGGTCCCCTTACCCGGCGTCCTGGCTATACTCGAAGGGTGCCCTGGCGGCCCCACGCGTGGGCTCCCGCGGGCGCCCACGCGAGACCTCAACGCGGGCAGCTGGTGCGCGAGTGCCGGCCTCACTCGGGCCGTGTTCGTTCGTCGGTCACGCGTCGGCTGCCCCCTGCCTCGGCTGGCGTGCGTGGCCGTGGCGCTCTCCTCTTGCTGCGCCCGTTGCGAGGCAGCGGTCGGCCCACGCACCGCGTCGAAGGCATCACGCGCCCGCCTTCGAAACCACATCAGGGTCTGATCCCGAAGCAGAAACCGAGCCACACATCAACTATGCGGCGAGGGGGGTCCGTCTGACTAGAAGATGCCCACGAATTGCCAAAGATGGCCGGAAGACCCGATCAAACTATCAAACAATCCCGAGGCTCCTCCAGACGTCCTCACGACCCACCCCCAAGACCTCCCAACACTATCCTACGATGCCCCCAAAGCCCACCCAGGCCCGCAATATCAGAAGATCAACCAGCAGCATAAACGTTTACTGTTGGAAGTCTGCGCTGATTCCTGGGGCCAGGGCTGAGCCCCACCCCCCCTGCGCGCGAGAGGAGGCGTATGCAAGGCAACACGTTTGCAAGGAATCCAATGTGATGTTTTTCGCAGGCAGGCCGGCAGATGGCGCGGCCCCGGAACCGTTGGTTCGTGGTCTCCGGTCGTGGCTCGTGGTCTCTGGCCTCCAGCATTTTTTTTCATTTGACATAGCGGATGTCGGACGAACAATAAAGCATACCCAAAGCATATACCAAAATGGTCAAGCGAATGCTCAACACATCGTCCCCAGTCTATGTTTTGACAATTTTTGAATTTTCCTCCTGTAGAGGGACAGGTGTGGTGTATACAAGAATGTGGCACAAGTAGAGGATGGCCCAATGCTAGCCCGCGTGAGACCCGAATCGTGTTTTGGTGCACTGTGCGTGCGGCGCGGTGTAATCTGTGAGGTGAAAGATACCTGGTGTGAGTTATGTGAGCAACATCTGTGCGGTGTAAGCTGTGTGGCGTGAGCTATATCGTGTAGGCTACTCGAACCGAAGTGGAGGTGTAACGTACGGTGGGGGCATTGGATAAGGAATCCTTAGATAAGGAATCCAGGGTCGGGAATACAGTGGGAAGCCAATCGTGGATTGGCCATGGATATCACCGCCGCCCTCATCTGATAAGGAATCATCCAGAGTCTGCAGCCTCCTGGTCGCATTCCTTCACGAAAGCCCCCACCGCATGGGGTGTAAGCTATGTTGTGCAGGTTCAGAACACGGGGCGCCCACGAGGCCACCGACGCGGCACAGGAGGCAGCGCAGCGCAACTTCGGCATACCCTCTCAGCGCCCGGAGCGCCTACGAGGCGGAAGCGCGGCAGAGCGAGCGAACCACGCGAGCATGCCTGTCGGTTGCTCGGCCCTGCGTAGGGCATGGGTGCACAAATCGAAGATCAGCCAGACAACATATATGAAACGTGAGCATCATTTGGAACTGGGACAATGCAACAGAAGGGAAAAGGCAGGGGAAGGAGGGGGAAAAGGGGGGAGGAGGGAGGAGCACCACAACTCCATCATGCAGAACTTGATGTGCTGCTCCTCCCTGCCCGGCGTCTGCAGCGCCTCTTCCAGAGAATATGCCCCGACGTGCGTGTAGAACTGTTTGAAGTCATCCATCCTTTGCAGCGGTGGTCTGCCTCGCGCTCGCTTGTGAACAGACTGCAAATGTCGAAGAACGGGCGCCCATTTCGCAACTCCTCCACAGAGGAGCCCGCGAGCCAGCCGCCACTTCAAAGAGAAACTGGTTTCCGATACGCATGGGAAAGGCGCCGAGGAAAGCATGTTGGACACGCGCGTCTGTATCCTGCGTATCGTGTCATGCCAGCTCTCGCCTTCCACTTCCCTCGAGCCATCCATATTTCGGAGCATCTTTGTCCGCGCCCCCCGGAGCACGGCGCGGTGCTGCGGCTTCAGCGCCAGGCGGGTCCACCCGTACAACAGGACTGGCAAGACCGTGGAGTTGAAGAGCTTGATGCGAATAACGGCGCCGACATGCTGGCTCATCAGAATTTGGCGTTTTTGTATGATATTGGTGCCGTGACGCTGATATCCTCCTCTCAACGGCAAATATTGTCCTGCGCTGTGACAGTTCGAGGGCTGCCCCCAAATGCGCGGGAGATTTGCCCAGGGACAGCGCGTGACAGCAGCGGCCGGCAATCCGTGCGACTTAGCGAGTGCTGGGTCGCACACCGACGTCTCTGGAAGATAACATCTTGGTCGTCGCGGCGTTCAGTTGCGGCCCTGCGGCCTGGAACTGCTCAGTGAAGAGCGAGGGCATGATTTGGGCGTCTTCCGGGGAGCGGGCATAAAGCGGGACATCGTAAGTAAATCGAACGTTCGCGAGGCGGTCTCTCCCCCGGGAATTCCCGCCCCTGCGTTGCGAGGCGCCCCTTCCACCTGTTGAGCACCATCTCCATTGCTGCGTTGAATAAAGACGGACTCAAGACGTCGCCCTGGCGAACCCTCGGGAAGAGCTGAAAGACGTCGCTCGCGCCAACTTGGCCCGTCCGTCCCCGACGCAGCTCTTGCAAGAAGGAGGCGAGCGCCTCATCTGCACCTTGCTCCATCGTGGCTTTGAAAGAAGATTCGTGGAAGACCTTATCGAACGCCCTGCTGAAGCCCAGGCTCGCGATCCAAAGGCGCCGCTTGAGCGCGCGGGCAAACCCCGCCATGTGCTCCGCGCAGCGCAGAGCCTCGTCGGCGCCAAAGACAGGCTGGCGCGCGCATAGATCTCCCCCCCGCGCCGCTTCCAGCCTCGGCGAAAACCTCGACAAAAGCATTTTTGCAATAATATTGAATAACATCCTGTGCACTGCGACTGGGTGCCAAGTTGAAGCTTTCGGCGCGCCCCCCGGCTTAGGCAGCAGTGTGGAAATAGTATGCAGCCACTCTTTCGGGAAAGCCCCTTCGTTCAGACATTTGTCGCGCTGCTCGAGAATGCGCTTCTCTGCTTGCATGGGTAAATGAAAAATATGCCCCAACGCAATCCCCTCGGAGTCCGCGGCCACGTTGCGCGCCAGCTTTCTCCGGGCCGCCCTGAGTTCTGCCGTGCTGAACGAAGAACTTCGCGGAGAGCAGCCCGCGGCAGCGGTCTTTCAGCTGGCGCCCCCCTCGAGCGCACGTCTGCGAGAGCTCGCGCAAGCTCCCCGTCGCCTGGCCGCTCGGCAGGAATCCCCCGCTCGACCGGAACGTGACATACAACGTCCAAGCGGGATGGACCTTGAAACTCCGACAAAATATCGCCGCTTGCCGAGTCTCCCAAACCCGAGCCTCTTTCCGGAGTGCCCGCTTCCAGCGCCGATGTAAGGCTTTCCTCTTGACAGAGCGCCTCTCCCAATCCCGGCCTCTCTTCGCCTGCAGGACAACATCTGAAGGATCTGCGTTTGCAAGTGTTCCCCTTCTGAAAAGCGCATGGCGCGTTCTGTGTCGGCGGTATTGTCAGCAGTACGACGCGAAACCCACAAGTCCACTGACTTTGCGCATCGCTGGATGTCTTGGCCAGGCACATCAGACCATTTACATCGAGAGTTCTGATGTCTGCCTGTCCATTGCCTGGCAACTTTGAACTCTACGGAAGCGGATGCGGCGCGAAGGTCTGGCCCAAGGTCAAGCAAATATGCACTGCCACTCGTAATGCATCCGGCGCGCGAGCCGATGATAATGTAGTCGATAAGACGGCATCTACCCATATGGCTTCGAAACGTCCATTCCCCGGAACTGTTACATAATGACAGCTTCCCCCTCGAAGCAAAATCGAGCAGCGCAGCCCCCCGAACTGGCGCGTGCAACTCTGTTTGAAAATCAACTCCGACGACGCAAATTCGCGGTTACCCGGCGGCTGCTCGTAAAGGATTGCGTCCACGAACATGGCGGGGTAGCCAGCATGCGGAAGGTGCACTGCGATTGCTCTGCGCGCTTTTCCGCGCAGCTCCAAATCGACGCGCATGACCCGGTCGATGATGTCAACAAATCCGCGCTTGCCAGCGTGTCTGGCGTTGACGAGGACACCATGGCCTGTGGCATCGTGGCCTTTGCCGCTTGCGTAGAGCGCGTGCCCGCCAGTGATTTTACACGAGCGGCTTGGAGCTCTCGTTTCCGAGAAGAGAACAATATCTGAATTCATAGTGTCTAATTCTGCAACTACCTACTGCAATCTTTCATCGCATCCAATACAAGCGTTTTGCCAATAGAAGCAGAGAGGGTTTGCCGGAGTCTAAGGTAAAACGTGTGTCTTGCTGGAGTTGCCCCTAGTGGCCGGCGCCTGCAGAGGCGCTCCAGGAGTGGCCCGTCGTTTTGCCTTTGGTCTTGCCGTTGCCAATGCCTTTCGTGGGAGTCTTGCTGTCGTTGAGCTTTTTGTTGGAGGCAGCAGCAAGGGCATCCCATTTTGGCACGTCCTGGAAGCACTCGCGCTACCCATCTTCGAAATGCACTGAAAGACTGCCCTCAGAAATCGAAGCCGCGAAAACCACGTCGGCCCCACACCGCAATTCATATGTATCGGCATCGGCCCACAAAGCGGTCTTGTCCCGGCCACCGTCAATAAGAACGTCCTTGCTGGTGTACATGACGCTCCAGACCACACGCACGCTGACAGGGAAGTCCAATTTGGCGTACACCTACTCGCCATCGTGCTTCAGGCTGGCCTCTTTGATCTTCTTTGAGATGGACACGGCCTCCGCTTGACTGGCACATTTTGCAAACAACTGACATTTGAACGACTGTCTTTTGCAGTAAAGATCAAGTGGTTCTTTGATGTATGCGTTCCAGAACTGATTTCGCAACCATTCCCTGGCCACGTCCTCGTTTGCAAACTTGCTCATTCCACCAATGAACACAGTTGGGTTCGACCCTGCGCCGGGGCGGTCTGAGCGGATACCCCAAGGGAAGAGCCAAGAGGTCCTCGCAAGGAGGCAGCGTCCTGCTTGAGATTGGCAAAATGATTCTCGAAGTTCTGGCGCATGTCGTTCAAACTTTTGTCTTCGTCGCTCGCTTGCATCCCCATGCTCACCGTACTTCCCCTCGATATAGGATAATTTCACGGACAATTGGGCCAGTTGTCCACTCAACTTCTCGTCTACGGTGTTGTTCAGGAGCTTTGCGATGCCGTTTATCGTGACGGGAGCGGGGGAAGCCCCTGGCGGCGTGTGAGGGGCATCGAAATGAAATTGATCCCCAGCTCCACTGGTCTCGCCCGTGACCCCATCCATCTCATTTAGCGGGCTGCTCCACGGGCTCTTCAAGCGGGCCCGCTTGTCCTCGTGGCCCTCAGGAGACGCAGTGATGTGCGACGCCACTTTTGCATGAGAATCACCCCTCTCTGCGCCCAGTGGCGTTCCCGGCGTCCTCGTACTCGGTGCCATTCTACAAACTGTCCCAGCGCGATGAGCAGAGAAGAGAAACACAAATGATAGGCCGACGGTGGGATGTGAGGGACAATGAATGTTAATGTATCAGATGTGAGCCAGGATGCTCACTGAGCCGGGATGCTTACTGAGCGGAAACGCGGCGAGAACCCAGAATGCCCAACATGTTCCTCAACCGACACGTAAGAGCCCTCAAAAGCAAGCACCGTTTGGGCCATTTCCTGTGGTCGGGATTGCTGCCTGAATGCCGAAAAAAAAAATTCGATGGGTGTGGTGGGGTAGGTGCCTCGGCGCCCCATGCGGGTGCTTGACGTGTCGAAGTCTCGCCTGGCGGGCGGTCGTGGGCGCCGCGTGGGCGTCCTGTGCGCTGGCTCGGCGTGTCGACGTTTCGAATGGTGGGCGGTCGTGGGCACCTCGTGGGCGCCCCGTGCATTGGCTGGGAGTGTCGAAGATTCGCCTGGTGGGCGGCAGTGGGCGCCTCGCACTGCTTGCAGATCATTGCGTGCTCGCCTAGCTCACACCACTGCGCGCACATCGGAATCTTACACCGCATCGCCTGCACTGCATCGATTCTCCATTCTACAAAAAGAATAGACTCTACCCCCCCCCCCGGCGTTATCACTACCCCCGCGTCCTATGTAAATCACATACGATTATGACCACATGTCCATCCTAAAGATGAAATCGCAATGTCCCGGACCAACCGGGTTCCCCCCCCCTGAGGTTCCCTTGTAAGAAAACGATACGCGGGGACAGGTTGTGTTCTAAAATAACCCTTGTTCGCGAATCCCTTGCAAAAAAAGGACGAAGTGCACACGCGCGCGTCGTCGCGCGCGCATGCCGAAATTCTTCAAAAACCTTCGGTGCCGGAAGGACTTCGCAGTCGAGCTTCAAAAAAAAACATACAAAACACCTGGTTTCGCAACACTGATTCGTCATCGTCATCGTCGTTGTCATACAAAACACCTCGTCATCGTCGTCGTCGTTGTCATCGTCGTCGTCGTCGTCGTCGGCGTCGTCGTCGTCGGTGTCGTCGTCGTCGTCGTCGTTGTCGGCGTCGTCGAAGTCGTTGGAGACGTCGTCGGTGTCGTCGTAGTCGTTGTCGGCGGCGTCGTCGTCGTCATTGTCGCTGTCGTCGTCGGCGTCGCTGTCGTTGCCAAATGCCATTTGGTACCCACCGTCACGGTCTTAAGAGATTTTCCAAACCAAGTTGCGGGTGGGTGGGTGGGATGATTGCGCGAGTAGTGGAGTTGACAACTTCAAGTTCGGCAAGTGGATTGCACCTCATAGCTTGCACCACATGGCACGTAGCAGACACAGCTTGCACGACATGTACTGCACCACATTGCTTGTACAGCACAGCCTGCACACCTGGAGTGCAAGAACCCCCTGCTTTGGATCCACACCGTCGAACACAGAAAAAGCTCTCTCGAGAATTCTGCCAACAAGGATGTAAATGCCATACAGAGGCCCCATCCGAACGAGGCCCCGCAGAGGAACCATAAACGCAGTGCGACTGGATATCGGTCGGTCGCGTATGATTCACTACGTGCCGAGACCTCGATTCGATTCCTGGGCAAATCGTGTTCACTCGTTTCTCACGCTGCGTGTGCCCATCTCCGAGGCTCAATATTCCCTTCGCCCAAAGCTGCCACCCATCCGAACAGAACGGCATGTGTTGAACTACTGACAAGTAGAGGGGCGGACAATCCATCCCCTGGAGAACCTCGCTGTACTGCATGTCCGAACCATTCCCTGGGTTCCCTGCATCCCGAGAACCTGCTGTACTGGCATCGAGATAAGAAAGAAACGCCGCGGCTCTCTCAGGAGACGTCCACAAACGTCGCCCCCTGTCAACAGAGGCCCATCTGTAATCGCGGGTCGAGGGCCCACGGGCCCACGCCCCCCCCCCCCCGGATGGGATGGGCCCCAGGACTCCACGGGCCCCCATCCCCAGATGGGATGGAGTGGGGGGGCGACGACGACGACGACGACGACGACGACGTCGGCGGCGAAGGCGGCAGCGGCGGCGGCGGCGGCGCAGACCTCCCGAGCTCTCCTGGAGCACCACGGTGCCACGCCACACCCACAGAGGAAGGGGGGGGGACCCCTCGCGGAGGGGGGGGAGGGGAACGATGCCACCAGCACGGTGGTCAGGGCGGGGCCCCCCCGACCCGGCTCACAGAATTCGTGCTTCGCGCGGCGCCGAAGCGCAGATGACTCTGAGCTCTCGCGCCGCCTCCCTTGGGAGGCGAGAGGAGGACGAAGGACGACGTGGACGGAGGGACGAGGAGCGGAGGGCCCAAACCGCGAACGCGCGAACAGCTTCGCGCCCCTACGGGAGCCCCTGGTCGACTGGAGGAATGGCCCGAAGCACCCCGCAGCCATGGCAACATGCTCGCACATTCGAAGCCTTCTAGATGGGGTCCAAGTAGATGGGGTCGGAGGAACGCACCGCATCGCCGATACGTCGACGATTCATCGGCGACGTCGGCGATGCATCGGTGCCGTCGGCGCGGAGAAAATAGGGCCCCACATTGAGGCGCATCGCGCCGATGCATCCGCGATGCGGCGTCCCTATGTACTCGGTCCCCACCTGGGAGGCCTAGGTAAATGCTCAAATCCTCCCGCTGTCCTAAGAAGCAGCGTCTTCGTCCCATTTTGCTCGCCTCTCGCAGCAACAGCCTGTGCCGCCGCAGCCGCAGCCGCAGCCGCCGGCATGCCACCCTGCAGGGGCTGCACCGAAAAGGCTCCAAACGCTGGCCCTGAGGAGTGGCTGCAACGAGATGATTCGCCAGCGAGCCTGGGGGAAGCGAGAGGGCGGTGCCTTCCCAGAAGGCGGCGGGGCTTCTCTCAGAAGCTCTCGCCCCTTTTCCGAGAAGCCGTCTGCGTTCTTGGGTAAGGCAGGGAAGACCTTTCAGAAGGCGTGGGGGCTTCTGAGACGCCCGCCGCTTTCTGACAATGCCAACCCCCTCTCGCTTCACACCTGGGCTCGCCGCCGAACGGTGCAGGTGCGCAACCGTCTTGTCGACTCGGCCTCCAAGAACCGCCGAAGCCGGGAGAGAAAGAGGGCAACAACAACCGACACAACCCGACTGACGCCCACGGCCCCTCTGGGGCGACTGGGGTGGAGAGGCTGGCGCAGACCTGCAGCCTGGATGCACCGCACATGGAGGAACAAAACGATACCGATAATTTCCGTTACTCCCCCAAGTCGTGCCCCCGTGCGGGCTTGCACGTGAGTTCGCACTCTGTTCACCGAATGCCGTCGCTGGATGGTGCACTGGCAGTGCTGCGAGCACAAGCTGGAGCTGGCATGTCCGTCGTGCCCCTCCATTTTGGTGAGGGGAATGCGATTCGAAGAGTGGCCCAGTGTGCAAAGAATCCAGGTTGCACAACCTCGCGCAACGAGCCCCTCGACGGGTGACTGTCGTCGCGCCCTCGTGCCACCCCTCCCACGAGAAGGGCACCCGCTCTGGCCCAGACCGCGGCGCGCGAAGCGGGATCATGATCGCAGCCCAGTGGGTGACCATCACGGTGACCCGGACTCTCCGGGGCCTCTCCCCCAGTGCGAGCGGCGGTAAGTGGCAAAGCTTCGGGCTGCACACAAACAGCTCCGCCAGGTAGTCCCGACCGGCCTCAACAGGCCCCCCAAATAGTCCCGGCTGGCCCCACCAACCGGGCGGTCCCAACACCCTGGCGACGCCTCTGGCGGCGCCCCTGGGGCGCTCCACACCCAAAGGGGGGGACCAGGGTCAGAGGGGAAACTGGCCAAGGGCCGAGGATCCCAGGATCCCTCTGGCCCCAAAACTTTTTTCGTGCTCGTCGACGAACACGAAGAAAATTTAAAGTCCATGTGCAGGGGCCTGGCAGCTAGACCAAGGGCAGGGGAGGGGCTTAGGCGAGGGCCAGACGGGGCAAGACCAGGGCCAGAAGGAGCTGGGACCAGGGACGAACGACGACGACAAACGCGACGAAATGTCCGGGGCCAGGGGGGATCAGACCAAGATCCAGGCTGAGGAGGGCGTGGGCCGAGGGCCAAGAAGGGGGCTGGGACAAGGGCCAGCAAGGGGGCTGGGACCGCGACGAGACATGAACGACGACGGCCACGATGAAAATAATGAAGTCCTGGGCCAGAGGCTGGGACCCAGACCAGGGCCGAAGGGGTCTGGGCCAAAACCCCAGGGGGCTGGGGCCACACGGGGGGCTGATAGGGGGCCGGGATCGTGACCTGAAGTGTCTGGGGCTAGGGCTAGGGACGAAGGAAACCGAAAACGACAAAATTAAATATGTCCGGGCAGGAGGGGGGCTGGGACCATGGCGGGCCATGACCCACAGTAGGGCCAGGAGAGGGCCTGGAGCGAAGGCTACAGAGGGGGTGGGACCAGGGCGAAGGGGCGGGATTGGGGCCAGGGCCAACCGAAACGACGACGGGCACGACGACTATAAAAATGTCCCGGCCAGGAGGGCTGGGATTAGATTCGGGCCGAGGAACGGTCTGGGGCGATGGGACCATGGTCCGGTGAGGCCTGGGGCCAGGGCCAAAAGTGGGCTGGGACTATGGTCGCGGGACAAAGGGGGGCTGGCACCAGGGCCACGGGTTGGGGCCAGGGCCAGGGGAAGGCTTGGGGCAAGGGCCAGAAGGGGGGCTGGGATTGGGGCCAGGGAGGGAAGGAGTGGGGCCAGGTCCACGGCCGGAGAATGGTCTGAAACGATGGCCAAGGACAAGCGACAACGGCCACGACCAAAGCAAAGAGCCCCACAACAAAGAAACGATATTGATTTCAATGACGACGCGGGGGAAATCTCAAGGCCCACGCCGAAGGGGGCCCCTCAGATGCCAGGAAAGCTGGGAAGGATTTTGGGTCCAAGCTGGCGGGGGCCCCAACCCAGACCCAAAGCTTTTGGGACCTAGAAACCTCTGGGGGCTGCAATTGCCTTCCACATTCCACCACCATGGTAACGGGTCGGGAATATTTGCGGTGTCCCTCTGGGATTCATTCAAGATAAGAAGCACCGTGCCTGCCACAGCCTTAATCCATGCGTATATATACATATATATATGTATATATATATATATAATATATATATATATATATATATATATATATATATATATATATATATATGGAGGTAAACATATATGCAAGACTTGAAGATCGCTGCGCTTCGCTGTGAAAAGTGGGCATGATGCGCGGCGTGCGACTCGGTGCGTTCCGGTGGCATAGGGCAGGCTTCATCGAATTAAGCTTGACCCTGGAGGATCGGATGATGAGAAATGGTGACGATTGCGATGTGCAGGGACGTGGGGCTATGATGATGGTGGTAGGGTCGATCATGATGATGATGACGATGTTGATGATGATGATGGTATTGATGTCGATGGCGGTGAGGATAACCACGATTACAAACCCCCTCTACGATCCAGTGCAAGTCGACGCCCAAAATTGCTATCGCACGTATTGCCCGTATCGCCCGGCTCGGGGGCGGCGCTGGCAGGCCCCGCGTCATCCACGCGCGGTTGGCCGCGCCCGCGTCAATCTGGCGAAACATGGCCAAGGCGCCCTCCCCCAGGCGGCCGCCGATGCCCACTGCGAAAGCCGCGACGGGATCGCCATGCAACTTGCGCTTGGCCCGCTCCGCGGCGCGAGTCGCCAGGCGCACGTCCGCGGCTGCCGCTCGAGTCTCGCCGTCCGGGCAGGAGTGCACCGCGACGTCGAGCCGCGCCCGCGTCGCGCCAGCTGGCTACCTCTGGCAGCAGCAGACGTCCAAGATCGCCTCCTTGACGCCGCCGTCGCGGTCCGTCTGGTAGAGCTCCGGGATGCGCGACTCCGCTTCGACGATCGCGCCGACCCTGCGGAACGCCTCGGCGACTGTGATCTTGATGTCGTGATGCCACTGCACCCGGAGGGGGCCCTCAATGCATCGGGCCGCACGCACGCCGCTGACGCCAAGCTGTCGCCCGCAGGGCGGCCCGCGCCTCGGGCCACCGCGGTGGCCGTGAGCGCGCGCCTGGCCGGGCTCCAGGACAAGCGCCCCCCGGCGCCTTCTCGCGGCTGGAAGCCAACGACGGCTGCCAATCCGCGCAGTCGAAGGGGCCGGCGCCGCTGACCACCCCAGGCCTGCTCCTCTGCCGCCTCCGCCCAGCGGGTTGGCGGCGCGCTCGCGCGGCAGCGCGGCCGCGAGGTCGGCGGCCGGCGGCGCCGCCAGCCCGCGGCCCAGCCTCCCTGCGAGCCAGCGTCTGCCCCCGCCCCTCTCCACGCCCCCGACGTCGGCCCCCGGAACGAAAGTGGCGAGGGCGAAGCGGTCCAGGGCGCGCGCCTGCGCATCCCCCGCGTCGCGGGCAAAGGTGAACAGCTCCTGGGCGGGCAGGCCCCCTCTCCATCCCAGTGGAGGTGTTAGCTCAGGATTGTATATATATGTCACTAACTCTAATCAACCTATGACTAAGGATAAGCATCCTCTATTCGGGGGGTTGATAAGAGGGCGCTTATCTTTCATTCGAGACAATTATCCTCAAATCGACATATCATTAAGGATAGGTATCCTCTGTTCAACATATAACTAAGGATAACTTCCTCTATAATGCTCTACTTGTTATAAATCAGCACCATCATCATCACCATCACCGTAGCACCTCTTCCGGGCTCAATGTAGCTGGAGGCCTCCCTCGCGCGGGGCCCGCGCGGGCCCGGGCGCGATGGCCCCCGATAATCCCCCCACGTCTTTGGGGCAGAGGTGCGGGGCGAGAAGGGCAACCTAAGGGGCCTCGCGAAGGAGGCCGAGGATAAGGATATGAAGGAAGCAGCCATGAGGGAGCTCGCTTTGGCGATGATGGGCAAGCCGACGCATTGCCGACGTCGACGCAGCAGCGCGAGCACCAGCAGCAGCAGCTTCGACGGCAACACCAGCACAGGGAACTTCGACGGCAGCACCTTCGACGGCAGCACCTTCGACGGCACCGTCAGCGCCTTCGACGGCGCCTTTGACGGCAACGCCAGCGGCACCTTCGTCGCGAGCGCGAGCGCCAGCTGCACCTTCGGCTGGGGCACTAACAGCTCCGACACCAACGCCAGCACCGACGCCGAAGCCACGATTGCAAGTAGGGCTGCGGCCGCCGATGCCATTTGGGCAGCGGCCAGCATTGCCGACGGGGCCACGGCATGCGTTGCCAGCGGGGCCGCTGGTCAGGGAGGCGCCAATGCTCATCGAATCGGCGCCGAGGCCGCCGCCATTGGCGGCGCGGCCAGCGATCATCATCAAGGAAACGGAGAGGGCGGGGCCCACCTCCAAAAGGGCGCCGCCCACGCTGGCGCCCAGGAAGCCGCCCGCGCACGCGGCGCGGCCGCCCGGAGCGCCCAAGGCGCGCGCGAAGCCGCCCAAGGCGCCCGCGGCGCCACCTCCGCAGCGTGCGATAGAAGCGCGAGAGCAACGTAACACGACGAAGAACGACCAGCAAAAGCACGGCGGGCAGCAGCCCGACAGCGAGCACCCCCGCAGCGAGCAGCAGCGCCCCCACAAAATCGCGTGGACGATGGGCCACGCAGGCACCATGGACGCGCCGACCGAGGACGCCGCGGCGCCGACCGAGGGCACCATTTCGCCGACAATAGATTGGCAGTGGCACCCGTTCTTCATCGGCGGCGTCTACGCGCCGCCCCCAGACCCCGACGCGCCGAAGAAATTCGGCAAGATCGGGGTAGGGGGCAAGGAGAAAGCCATACACA